GGTATGCACGGTTGCATACAGTTGAATTCGTATATTAAAATATGGAACGATCGAAACGAATTAATTTGCATTTATAAATTTTTAAATTTATATTTTACGCTTCGTGGAACGTCTTCATTAACAAGCAACTCGATCAAAAAAAAAAAAAAAAAAAAAAAAAAAAAAAAATCTCGTTTTATAATATACTCGTTAAACGAACGAAATATAAAAAATAAAGTAGAAATATTTTTATTTTAATAAAAATAAACATCGAAATTCGATCGACAAGAAAAAATCTCGAAGATATTGTGCTCAACAACAAAAAAAAAAAAAAAACTTTATCCTTTGTTCCAACGATCACAAAATTTCGAATATACAGAAAATATAAAGATATCTTGTTGAACAGAAGATAGATTACGAATTTTAAAACGAGATATAAAAATTCGTAAAAATATCTTTAATAAAAAAACATCGAACGAAATTCGATCGACAAGAAAAAAATCTCGAAGACATCGCGCTCTTCGAAACAATTAATTTCATTTTCTCTAAATTCACAATAAAAATTCTTTATCCCTTATTTTTCCAACGATCAAAAATTTCCAATATACAGAAAATATAACATATCTTCGTTATATATATATAAAATATAATATACATCTTCGTTATAAATATAAAGATATCTTCGTTAAATATCTCATTGAAAATTCTGACACACAAATACGTATCCCCCTCTCCTTCGTGATAAAATTTCATAGAAAATTTCGTAATACAAGAGCAATAAGAAAAAACGTCAAAAAATTACGAAATAATTTGTCGTTCACGGTTCCTGATTCCCAACTTCGAAGAATATATTCCAGAGAAAGAAATTATAATGGAAAAAGATATTACGCGTTCTCCAATCCGAGACGTTGCTTCCGCTCAAGCTTTTCAATCCTGAGGGACAGGTTGGATGTTTTAAAGCCGGCGAAACCGTGATATACGGGTACATTTTCCAGTAGTGGAGTAGGAAGGAGTAGGAAGGGAGGGGGAAGAGATAAGATAAGGAAAGGGAGAAGGAGAGAAAAAAAGACGAAAGGGATAGAAAGAAAGAGAAGGAGAATGCATTTTCTTAATGTATTTGTTTCGAGCCGAAGCGTTCGAGGTATAACAGCGTCCCAACCAGAACGGAAAAAAACAACGTTTAAACGCCGAGCATGCGAGTTTATAATAAATTTCTTTTTTTGTTTCTCGTGATCATATCGTCAAGAAAATCGTTTTAAGGGAATATATAAAAGGATACGTGATGCAGAAGTCTTTCGCCAAGTTAAATTGTATCTCTGAAATATTAACTTACTTACGCGTTTAAGGTTAGGACGAGAATCGTCGAAGTAAGGTTAGGAGAGAGATGGATCATTCGTCACACTATTGGTGAAATTCATTATAGAGAAAGATAAAAGGATTTCAATCTATTATCTTTCTTTCGAAATAAATTTATTTTTATTTCGATCGAGTTTCTCAAGTTTGATAAATTAATAGAATCGTAATTATTAGTGGCGAACTATGTATAATAATTATTTTAGATAATTGAATAGCACTGGAATTCGTGTACGAATAAAGCGATCTCGTTGTGTTTCGAAACAGTTTCGCGGGTACGAAGCATTTTCTACGAGAAATTCTCACGATTGTGAGGCACGTGAAACACGACGACAGAAGCGGCAGAAAGCTTTCCGATGTATTAGCTCAAAAGCTGAAAGACCGTCCAAGTCGTATTAAATTTTCTTTTAACTTAGTCAGACATGGAAGCCCCACCTATTCACTTTTGCTCCTTTCATAGTGTCTTATCTCCGCCCATTTTATTGGTCTTGGCCAATCATTTCTATCAGAATCCACTCTGTGTGAGAGAGAAAGAGAGAGAAGAAAAAAAATTAATAAAGAAAAGATTCTTCTCGAAATCGAATCAAGAAATTTCTATTTTACGAATCTTCCATTCCAGAACGATTCTTAAAATCAAAATAGCTGAGAATTTTTATTTTGCCTCCATTCCTCAGATTAAAATACTCCTCATTAAAATATTCCTCAGAAAATTTTTATTTTGATTCCTATTAGAATGACGTGAATGCAGTCACGAGGATTTCTTATTCTACGACTGATTTTCAAATAGTTTTCCATTCTCAATACAAGTGATCGGTTCTTTCACGATAATTATTCGTACATAAATGAACCGATGCTCTCCAATTCAATTGCAATCTCAACTTTCAACGCAAGTCACCAGTTACAATAATTATTACATAAATGAAATATGGAAGAAGAATATACTCTCCAATTTTCGAAGCAGAGCTTTCCATACACCAATTTTTGTATACAAACTTTCAACACAAATCACTAGTTCCTTTAATAATTACTCGTACATAAATGAAAGAACCAATATCCAAGAAGAATATATCTTCCAATTTTCGATCGAAGCAGAACTTTCCATACAACTTTTGTATACAAATCACCAATATTCTTTTACAATAATTATTCCTACGTAAATGAAAGATATCTTTCAATTTTCGTTTGAATAAAGTTTTCCATATACCCAACTTTCAATACAAATGTCACTAGTTCTTTGATAATTATTCGTACATAAATTAAAAAGAGTCGATATCTTCCAATTTTCGATCGACTTTCAACACAAGTCATCAGTTTGCAATAATTATTGTTATATAAATAAAAGAATCGATATCTTTCAATTTTCGTTCGAACGTAACAAAGTTTTCCATATATCCAACATTCAATACAAATATCACTAGTTCTTTGACAATAATTATTCGTACATAAATTAAAAAGAATCGATATCTTCCAATTTTCGATCGACATAACAGTTTTCCATATATTACTTTCAAAGTTATTTACAATAATTATTGTTATATAAATAAAAGAATCGATATCTTCCAATTTTCGTTCGAACGTAACAGAGTTTTCCATATACCCAACATTCAACATAAATATCACTAGTTCTTTGGCAATAATTATTCGTACATAAACAAAAAAAAATCGATATCTGATTAACCAATATTCGATCAAACATAGCAGAATTTTCCATATATCCAACACAAATGTCATCAATTCTTTTATCTTCTTTTTAATAATTATTCGTAACATAAATGAAAAAGAGTCGATATCTTCCAATATTCGATCGAACGTATAATTTTTCATGTAGCAAATGTCATCAGTTCTTTTACAATAATTATTCTTACATAAGTGAGAAAGAGTCGATATCCAAGAAGAACACCATATCTTCCAATTTTCGACGACAGAACACGTTAATAAAATATCACGTAATATCTATTTATACACTTCCCTTAAACGATTTCATTCGGGTCCTTTCCCCCAGATCGCTTTCCCCTATCGCTATTCCTCACCCGTTCGACGTCGAAGAATTGCATCAGCATCCCCGATGCCGGTGACTCACCACCGCCCCCATTGCGCGATAACGAAACAACGCGATATCCTCCAATTTTCCATCGAATAGAATCTTCTTCTATTCTTAACCCTTTACGCTCCATCACTTTTTCACTTTCGGGCGAAGAAGAGATGATTTCGCGCGACACGTAACAGCATAAAACGATTTCGTACATTTCCTAGTGGAGAAAATAAAAAGTTAAGGCGCCTTTTCACGAATTCACGAATCAATAATTATTAACCGCTTGAGAGGTTAAAAAAAATTTAACGTTGCATTTAATTAATATAGTATAAGAAAGAAAATACAAATTAATAATATATAAATATATAAATATATAGGGAAAACGTATAATATAACTTAGAATGAAATAGAAAGAAAAATTAATAAATAAAAATGAAAAGGGCGAAAGAAAATTATAATTTTTGACTCTCAGCGCCACGACGCACAGTGGTGGAGGAATAATGAATTAAAAATTGGACAAAATTCATTCTTAATGTAATGTATAATATAATCATATATTAAAACTCTTTCTAAATGTTTAGGGATTAAACGAAATACGCGTTTATAGGCAGAGAACCGATCGATAACTGATTGATGGTCACATTTCGATAGTTACAAAAATATTCTGTAAATTTATTAAGCGTTTAAATTTCAATTTTATAATGGACATCTCGAAATATCTATTTTTTTTTAGTATATTAAAAAAATTACAATTTTCTTTCGCTCTTTTCATTTATTTTAAGTATTTATTAATTTTTTTTTCTATTTCATTCTGAGTTATATTATATATTTTCCCTATATATTTATATATTTATATATTATTTATATATTGATTATTTGTTCTTTCCTATCCTATATTAATTAAATGCAACGTTAAATTTTTCTATTATATTTAATTATATTTTCAATGAAATAATGAATTATAATTAAAAGCGATATTTTCTAAAAATTAAATCTCCATATAACCTCAAAATCGGAAAAAAGTAATTTTGTTCAATTCGATCCTATCTTTCGAACCACTACGCGACAATCTCTTTATTTATGCTAGATTTCGTCATCTCCAATTAATAAGAGCGCGAATATTGATCCGTGAATAGGTAACTCTTTCTTTCTTTATTATTATTTTCTTTCTATATTTCTTTCTACATTATTTAAGAAACGTTAAATGAACCTTATCTCCAATTCAGATATAATACACACACAATCGTATAATACAAAGTATTGTTATAAAAATTTCGTAAAATTTATAAACCCTAACAAAAGAAAAATAAAATTAAATACCTCAAAGAAAATAAATGAACTCAATTTTGATTTTGAACTCGATCGTATCCATTAAAAAAATTAGAGAAAATTAGAGAAAAAGCTGTGAACAGACATACTGGACGACATGACATATTTTCAAGCGCAAGAAATCGATTCGAGGGCGATGGATGCCCGACAAGATTCGAACAACATCAAAATGGAACTCGTGAAGAATCTCTAAGACACACGTCGCGTAAAATCGAGTTGAAGGAAGCAAACACGATATAATCGTATATCACGAGAGATCAGGGGATCGAGATTCGTTTTTTAACAGTTTTTCTTTTGTTTTGGGCAGGGCGAGGTCGCGGCCAGATCCGTGGCCGGATCCGTGAGAAGCACGAGGAGATGGGCGAGCCTCCGACAACACGTGGCAGCTAACGAAGGCGGGAAGCCGAGGGTCGAGTTGCTCCTCGATCCACCCGGGTCCAAGTCCTCGACCCCGTCCTCCCCCCAACCGCACACCCCCAACACCCCACGAACGCCCCACACGCCCTCGAGGAAGTCCAACTGGGAGGTGATCGAACACTTCACCGGCGCGCCACGTCCCTCCATCGTCACGGTGAGTTAGTCTCGTACGGTGCTGTACGAAATGGACCGAGTCTGTTCTTTTTTTCTTTCCCCTCCGTCCTCTCTTTCCCCCACCACTTCCTCCGATCGAACGTATCTCGAACGAGGGAATTAAGTTGTTAAGGTATTTCATTGGTTTCGTCTCGTTTCGTCATAGGGGGAGCGTAGTGGTGATGAAGTATCTTGCATCGGTTTTTCGAGATATCGGAATATTATATTAATTTTTTTTTTTTTTTCGTAGAATTCGTGGAATTGTGTTCTCTTTTTTATTTTTATTTTATTTTTATTTTTAACGTTTAATAACTAGAAAAGATTATGTATTATATATTAGGGATATTTTTGTAAAATTCATTTGATTCAAATTTTAACGAAATTCGAAATCTTTCAATGAATTTACAAAAGATTCTTTAGAGATATCGGAATATTATTAATTTTTTTTTCATAGGACTTGTATTCTTTTTTTATTTTTAATTTTAATACATTTAACAATTGGAAGAAAGATTATATATTATATATTAGAATTTGGGATATTTTTGTAAAATTCATTTGATTCAAATTTTAACGAAATTCAAAATCTTTCAATGAATTTACAAAAGATTCTTTAGAGATATCGGAATATTATTAATTTTTTTTTTTCGTAGGTGGACTTGTGCTCTTTTTTTATTGTTATTTTTAACACGTTTACCAATTGCAAGAAAGATTATATATTAGTATTTGGATATTTTTGTAAAATTCATTTGATTCAAATTTTAACGAAATTCAAAATCTTTCAATGAATTTACAAAAGATTCTTTAGAGATATCGGAATATTATTAATTTTTTTTTTTCGTAGGACTTGTATTCTTTTTTTATTTTTAATTTTAATACATTTAACAATTGGAAGAAAGATTATATATTATATATTAGAATTTGGGATATTTTTGTAAAATTCATTTCAGAAATTTTAATGAAATTCGAAATATTTTTCAATAAATACAAAAGATTCTTTAGAGATATCGGAATATTATTAATTTTTTGCTTTCCATAGAATTCGTGGAATTGTGTCCTTTTTTTATTTTTATTTTTAACACGTTTAACTCTTTCGCTACGGGCTTTTCTCTTTCCTCGATATCCTCGCTGAATGAGCCACCACTACAAAAATGTGCACAATATTCGAGAAAGATAGTCAATAGTTTATGGCATTTTTTTTGGTGATTTTTATCGAAGAATCTCGTGAGAAACAAATGATAAAAATACCGATACTACGTTTCCAGAGAAAGATACTTGATATATAATCGCCCATAATATGTCAATTTTATGGAGAACGATCACAGTAGTAAGAAAAGAATTAACACAACTGGAAAAAAGATTATATATTAGACGTATTTAGGATACTTTTGTTAAAATTCATTTCACAAATTTCAACAAAATTCGAAGTATCTTTCAATAAGTACCAAAAATAATGTCAAAGCTGCATCGATTGATTTCTACTATTATACGTAAAAAAAAAAAAGTTATTAAAATAAATAATTAATAATAAATTATATATATAATATAATATAATAATATAATATAATATAATATAATAATAAAATAAATTAATAAAAAATTAATAATTAAAAAAAATTTATTCCTCCTTCAACCTCTCCTCTTTCAGAAACTATTTAACAAGATTCGATTAATTTTAACGCTGATCGCCATGTATAAATATATTATTTCTCCCTAACTCACTTTTCCTCCTCCTCCTCCTCCTCGTTATGCAAGAAATAAGGATGAAACTGGCGATCAGAGAGTTAGAAAAAAAACTCTATGATTAATTGAAAGAGAAAATGGGATTTTAATCGAATGGTGTTCACAGATGAACAGGGGGTCGGAAGTCGGCATAGGCATCACGAGCGAAAAGGAAATGATACAGGAGAGGAGGGTTAACACGTCGATGACCCAACCACCGAGGAAATGCGCGCTTTGCCGTTTTTTGAAGTCGCTCTGCGCCTCTCATCATTTCAAAAATTTACAGGTAAACGATGAGTCTTCCTTTTTTTTTCTTTTTTGATTTTTCCTCCTCGCGAATTCAAATTTTTCGAATTGTTCCAATTATAGTATAGAGTAAAATAGAGATTCGAATTCGCGAGATTTAAGAAGAAATTTAAGCTTATTGTAGTATTGTAAAATATAAATTGAGCAGTTGTATGATAAAGAAAGGAGGACACGTTTTTAATTTTGAATTGAATAATATGATAATCGATGGAGATTTTGAAAAAAGTCTTTCCACGGAAGAGATTATGAAGATTATATTTTATCTTAAGTATTTGACTATTCAAATATCAAAGGATTAAATTTGTGTTATCACTATAACTTTCAATTGAAATAATTCTATCAACGATTACCAAAAATCTTTCCACGAAAAAGATAATAAAAATTATATTTTATATTAAATAAAGAAAGTACTATTAAACGAGTACTATTAAAGATAAGAATTAAATTTGTTCTGTTATAACAAAAAAAAAAAAAAAAAAAATTCTTCGTTACACTTTCAATTAAAATTATTTTATCAACGATTACCAAAAATCTTTCCACGAAAAAGATAATAAAAAAAATATAAACAAATAAAATTAAATAAATAATATAATAAAATAAAATTACATTTTATATTAAATAAAGGGACTATTTGACTACTCGAGTACTATTAAAGGTAAGAATTAAACTTGTCCTATAATAATAAAAAAAAAAAAATTCTTCGTTACACTTTCAATCAAAATTATTTTATCAACGATTACCAAAAATCTTTCCACGAAAAAGATAATAAAAAAAATATAAATAAATAAAATTAAATAAATAATATAATAATATAAAATTTAATTTTATTTTGACTACTCGAGTACTATTAAAGGTAAGAATTAAACTTGTCCTATAATAACAAAAAAAAAAAAAAAAAAATTCTTCGTTCACTTTCAATCGAAATAATTTTATCAACGATTACCAAAAATCTTTCCACGAAAAAGATAATAAAAAAAAATAAACAAATAAAATTAAATAAATAATATAATAAAATAAAATTACATTTTATATTAAATAAAGGGACTATTTGACTACTCGAGTACTATTAAAGGTAAGAATTAAACTTGTTTAAACTCCTATAATAATAAAAAAAAAAAATTCTTCGTTCACTTTCAATCGAAATAATTTTATCAACGATTACCAAAAATCTTTCCACGAAAAACATAATAAAAATTACATTTTATATTAAGTAAAGCAAGTATCTGACTAACAAAAAAAAGAATTCTTCGTTACACTCTCAATAAAAACAAATGGAAATAATTTTATCAACGATTATCGAAACAAGGGAAACTTTTAACGAAAAACATTTACACGTGAAAGGAACCGTATATCGTAACGTACAAGAACAATCCGAAAACTAATTAACAAAAGTGAGATACGTTCAAAACTAATAGTTACTCCGGCGGAACACTATTACGCGCAAAATAAGCGAAAAACTTTTGCAGCAAAACTCGGGCGGAAAATATCTCGCGGAGCGGGAAACGGATGGGAAAATGTTCTCGTAATAACGATGATTTAATGTGGAGAAACGGGTGGTGGAACGGAGGAAAAATATTCTGAGGGAAAACGTACGTTTGAAAACGGAAGGATAGTATAATAATTGCGGATCCTTGTTCTTTGGTTAAGCAGAGGAAACAGGGGACGGACAATCGCGCAACAAGTTCGCATCGCGGCGGATGGAGGAGGAAATCCGGAAGCGGAGAGTCGAGGAAACCGGTGCACCTGTGTTCCTACTTATTTCCGTCTATTCGAATCCTCGGTAAACAGACGTATTCGTGATTCGAATTAAACCGCGAAAATTTTCTATTTCCTGTTTGACAACGAGTTTGGAAAATTATTCGTATTGCGTTCGATTGATTAATTATTAGTTTTGGAAAAATATTGGATATACTTCATCTCGTAATTGATAAGAAATCGATAAAAGGTTTTCGTTTCTAACGTTTCGAACGTGCAGAAATTAAAGCGCGGGAAATTTGTATTTCCGTTTGACAATGAAAGATCGAATTCATTTTTAATTGCAGAATTATTCATATTCCAATTGTATTTGATTTATTAATTTTGGGAAAATTAATTCGTATCGATACTTCAATTGATTTCCATCGTTTCGAATGTGCAGAAATTAAAGCGCGGGAAATTTGTATTTTCGTTTGACAATGAAAGATCGAATTCACTTTCAATTGCAGAATTATTCATATTTCATAATTGTATTTCATTTATTAATTTTGGAAAAATATTAATATCGATACTTTGTCTTCTAATTTATAAGAAATCGATAAAAGATTTTGATTTCCATCGTTTCGAATGTGCAGAAATTAAAGCGCGGGAAATTTGTATTTCCGTTTGACAATAAAGAATCGAATTCACTTTCAATTGCAGAATTATTCATATTTCATAATTGTATTTGATTTATTAATTTTGGAAAAATATTGGTATCGATACTTCGTCTTCTAATTGATAAGAAATCGATAAAAGGTTTTGATTTTCATCGTTTCGAATCTGCAGAAATTAAAGCGCGGGAAATTTGTATTTCCGTTTGACAATAAAGAATCGAATTCATTTTCAATTGCAGAATTATTTTGATTTATTAATTTTGGAAAAATATTGATATCGATAATTCATTTTCTAATTGATAAAAAATCGATAAAACATTTTGATTTCCATCGTTTCGAATGTGCAGAATTAAATCGCGAAAAAATTTGTATTTCTGTTTGACAATGAAGAATCGAATTCGTTCTCGTTGGAAAATTATTGCTATCGATACTCGTTCCAAATCGTTTCGTAACTGACAAGAAATCGATATTAGAATTTTCATTTCCATCGATTCGAATCTGCAGAATTAAACCACGAAAAAATTTGTATTTCCATTTGACAATGAAGAATCGAATTCGTTCACGCTGAGAAATTATTCGTATCGACACTCGTTTCAAATCATTTTATAATTGACGAGAAATCGATATTGGAATTTGATTTAATAATTATTTTTAGAGAAATATCGGCATCGATTTTAAATTAAAGATAATAATTTCAAATTATTTACTAATTACAAAATTACGTACTACATGAAACATAAATAAAGTGTCAATAAATCGATATTAAAATAACCGATTTATTTATACATCGATTTATCTATCAACAATGAAAGAATGAAAAAAATAAAATACTAAAGCAATATTAATTCTTAATCTTCCCTCCTTTTTTTTAAATTCACAAAAATAAAACAATCGATTATCAACGAAGAGAAAAATATATTAATAAATATTCATCACGATATTAAAGAAACTAGAATACCAAAAAAAATTTATTATTCATTACAGTACTAATTAGCATCAATGTTAATTCCTAACACCCCTCTCCCTTTTTTTTTACACAATTTTTCACAATTCACAAGATAAAACAATCAATCAGTATTATCAACGAAGAAAAAAATATATTAATAAATATTCAACACGATATTAAAAAAATTAGAATACTAAAAAAAAATTTATTATTCATTACAATACTAACTAGCATCAATGTTAATTCCTAATCTCTCTTCCCCTCTTTTTTAACTTCATAATCGATCAGTATTAACAAGAGAAAAATATATTAATAAATATTCACCACGATATTAAAGAAACTAGAATACCAAAAAAAAATTTATTATTCATTACAGTACTAACTAGCATCAATATTAATTCCTAATCCCTCTTCCCCTCTTTTTTAACTTCACAAAGATAAAACAATCGATCAGTATTAACAAAAGAAAAATATATTAATAAATATTCACCACGATATTAATACGATATTAAATACCAATTCACCTTAAAAAAAAAAAAACCACGTGAAAAACGCGAAAAAACAAAATATCGAAAGATAATCGAATCGATGAAAACGATCGAACGATCGTCGATTCTTCCATCCGTGCATCGATACACGGATCAATTCCATGCATCGTGGCAGGATGATGGACAAGTACGAGTACCTACGTCATACGAGCGCTAGGCGGTCGCTATTTCCGGAAATATGGAATTGTTTATCGCCACGGATGATCGGCCGTATATTGACAATCTTGTTCACTTGTGTTTACGCACAGCGTGCGGTTAAAAAATCGGTAACCGATTCGCTCGGTAAGTACGGGCACTGTAACGCGAAACCAACGAAATAAAACGGACGAGTTGAAACGGCATTGGGGAACCGGCATCCCGTTTAATCCCTCTTTGCCCGTACTACTGTTCAACGACTGCGAAGCTCGCGTTACATTTTGTATCACCGCTTTTATTTCTAGACGGGGTTCGAGTGCAATCGAATTGATTAAAACTCGATCGTTTTGTTTGTTTCCTTTATTCACTCCTCCGGTTAAGCGCTTCGCTAGCTTTTCTTTCTATTGATTATACGACGAGATAAAGGCTTGGCCTTCCTTCCAATCGAGGATCAAATCGAACGATTTTCGATTGGATCATATATATGTTTAATTTATCATTTAATTTATTTATCGTTATGACGCAATTTTTAATTTTTAGCCCAAAGTAACTGGCAAACTCGAGCGATGCACAGAGGGCTATTAAAATACTTGACAAAAATGGATTAAATTTTAGTTAAATTTATATTGGAATAGAAAGAGTCGCGTGAGAATATCCGGTTAAATTGAAACAGGCTATTTGAATAAGAACAAAAGGTGATTGATTAAATCCAATTTCTTTTTTTTTGGATTGAATCTAGTTGAAGTTTTGTGTATCTAGTTAAAAATTTATGCAATTTATAGAATCTGATAGAATGAATTTATAGATACTAGATTTTTGAAGTATATTTTCGTTCATTCTTATAATCAGTTATCATATCAAGATGCTAGTTCTTTTCACAAAACACTTTTAGTTACATCTGGTTACTTTTAGTTACATCTAGTGGAATCGATTTCCTTTCCGCTCGGAAGAATCGATCGGGAGGACGAGACTGACAGCTATCCAGTCGGCCGACCAAACG